GTTGCCGGTTCTTCGAGATATGTGATTAGCTTACTTATCCTTCGGGTTATGTCGGTTACCTTCGGTGTCAGTTATACGTGCATAAAATACAAAATAAAAGTTAATTATTTTTATTTTTCTCTCTTATGTAATAAGTTATATTATTTGCAGGCCCACGATGCGGCAGAATTAGAGTAGACTATAATTTTTTTTAGTGTAAAAAAAACGCAAAGTTGACTTTGAGGTGAGCCAAAACATGGCCCTATATGGTTGTCCGTATGCAAATTTTACAGTTGATCATTGATCATTGTAGTTTCTTTGCGTGATAGAATCTAGAATGAGCATATCGGCAACAGAATCAAAGTGATCGAAGGTCAAGCAAGCTAAAGTGGCAACGGTCTGGTCACATAACTCGAGGGACCGAGAACGAATGGAGAAAAAAGGTATTTGGAGTGACAACTCCGTACGGGAAAATGCAATATAGGATGATCCCTACTCGACGACCTTGTAGGTACAATGCATTTGAGGTCGATATAAAGTCAGTGGATGCAGGTGGCTCAGGACCGTTTCTTATGGCAGTCTATGCGACAGACCTAAGTTCAGCAGTGGACAGATAATGGCTAACATGATGACGAGAATGACGATAGGATACAATTTAAAAAAAATGTGTAAATTGGTGGACTTATTATTTCCTTTTTCATATTGTATTCGTATTCATGTCGCACACGCTTCGTTTCGTTTTCAGCACAATACAAACCTGTTTTTTTTGTCGTTGTTACTGTATGCGTCATCTTTAACTACTACAATTAAATATGAATTGTGTATTTATATAGTTCCAGCTATTACCTTTGACTTCGTCCGCGTGACCGGAATATGTTCACTTATCAGGATAAAAAGTAGCTTATGGACTTCTTCATTCTATATAGTACGTGAACAAATTCCATAGTGGTGAATTAAGTAGTTAAGGTGGTTAACAAACAACTAAACAAAAAAAATTAACAAACTCACTTTTGTCCCTTATACACCTACCTACCTATAATACTTACCTATACCTATAATACCTACAAGATAATTAAAAATTATTGTTTTAATTTGATTTTGTTTATTACGTTGTGCCTTCAATTATATTTTATATTATTTCTATATACGGTTGATAAATAACATCACATGGTATTAAGTCCGCCATTTCATTTTCTAGGTATATTAAGGTTAAATAAATAAAAAAATAAATAATATAGTTTATAAAATATATGTATAAAAAAATATATATAAAGACTGATTTACATCGTACACTACGTCAAAAAACAATGGATTCCATCGTTTTAAAAATATCAAGTTTAAAACAGGGTAGGTATAATGTCGCGCGTTGTCGCCTAGCCACCTAGCATTGTGTTTCCATGTACATTGCGCGACGTTGCCGCTTCATTGTTATGAATGTTGCGTGTTGGACCCATAGAATGAAACAAATTGGGTGCTACCTGGACATGCGTCATCATAAAGAAGTACATTACTACAAGAATGCGGAACCCGTACCGTTCATCACGTTCACACAGGTCGTGTTTCTAATAAATAAAAAAAAAAGATTAATTAAATTATTTTATTATAAATAATATAAATACAATAACATGAACCGTTATAAACTAAAAAATATACACAATTCTTCATATCAATCTGGGTCATTAAACAAAGTAAAATAAATTCTAAAATTTAGTAAAAATATATGTTATTTACAGTTAACAATTCACAATATAAACATCCAAAATATAATAGTTCCTTGTCAGTGGAACAGAAATAAACATTTATTTCATATAGTAACAATATAGTGATTTCTTATTTTAGGATTTAAGTTAGTAACGTATTTTTAAATTAATAAATTATTTATAAGTAACAATTATTTAAATATATAATAAATTTTATAACATACTTTGTACAATACATACTAGCTCGTAATTTTTTTTTAAGCAGTTCTTGTATTAAAAAAAATTAAATTAATTGTAAAATAAAATAAAATTTTATTCTATAAATTTTAGTTTTAATAGTTGTTTCGAATACGACGTAATATTTTTTTTTATAAATATCAAATTTATTTCTAATTTGAATTAAATTGTTTAAGCTAGTTATTTTTAAAATTGTAATATATATATGATAATAAATTAAACATAATAATTAACAATATAATAATAGAGTAGCTAATAGTATAAAATTTCAATTTTTATTTTAAAAATTGAGCAAAGTCTTCTCAAGGCACAGGGAAAATGTAAACTATTTTTATTTCTGATAATGCAACTGGTGAGCCCATATACTCACAGTCCCAGTGTTCTATAACAACACCCGATCTACCTAGTTTTCAGTCTGTTCCAAATAAATCTATAACAAACCTATACCTTGAATTGCACAAAGGCAGTATGAATGAATGAATACACTCTATTAGTATTATAAAATATAGGGAATAAAACCTATTATGCATCAACATACTACGAATTATTTTCACATAAATTACTAATACTAATCCAATAATGATCGATAATGATAATGATCGACATTACTGAGCGCGTTTTAAAGATGTGTAATGAAAAGTAGTATATTTTAAAAAAAGGTATTTAGTATGAATGTGCATGGCTGTAAGGGTGAAAGAAAGCTTAAAGAGACATAGATAAATACTTTGTGGGAAGTCATGTAACCAGAATAGGATTCATTCCTATTCTGGCGGGAATGATTGTGAATAGAGAAAAATGAAAGAGAAAAACAAATATGTTTTTCTTACGTCGGCGTAACACGCCAAGGGGGAAGATGACGATGTTGATGAGGACGATGATGATGCACCCGTATTAGTCCCATTTTATTTTTGTGTCAATTGATGCTGTTGTTGTGCTTTGCGAAGAAGAAAATAAAAAAAAAAAAATGTATACAATGTTGATTATCTATAACATATCTCATAGTTTATCGCGATATGAGAATTAAAGTAGCTTTTTCTTTGCACTGCAGTATACAGATAAAAATCTACATCATTATAACACTAAGAATTATGTTATAAAATATATTAGTACAGAAATTTTGTGAATCACAAAAACTTTTGTGTCCCATATTTATTTAACAGATGGACGCGGCGTGTTGGAATGGGCAGTCAAAGTTTTTCGTCATTTTCTATACCCATGTTTCTTTAGTAAAATTTTTAGTTTAACGTGTACAATACTCCTTCATAACTCTAATTATATGGATTCCACTTGGATTTTTATGAATTTTTTTGATATAATGACGGTCTTGATAAAAATCTGAAAGAATTATATTTTTATTAGAATTTTGATAATATTACATAAAGGTATTAATGTAGTGGGAAATCAGTACAGTGTATACTCCACTAATTATCTTATATTTTGTATTTTTTTTTTATAGAGTACTATGGTAAATAATAACAATACCATCATACTAATATAAATTAAGTAAAGAGATGTGAAACTTATAAACGTCACATCACTTGATATTGACAATCAGATATTTAGTATGTCTTTATGACAAATTCTAAAATTTGAAATTGAATCTTAATAAGATATCCAACATTTACAGACTAGTTAATAGTACAATAAGGTGAGTTTAAAATATTTGACTGGTATTTCTACCTATGAAATTAAATACTCATTAATAAATATAGCAATTTCTGTTCTAATTACACTACGTAATTATATTAGGTAATTACATAAGGTAGGCAATGATTGAAGTATGACTATTGACTGCATATTTAACATTTGAGTAATCAAAGTATACTGTACCTAAATTAAAATTTTTGTTAATTTTATTCCAGAATTTTTTTCAATTTTTTTCTGACTTTATTGTAGATATGGGTGTATGAATTATAAATTATTCTAAACGTTTTGAGAGAACATCTATATCTACTGTGATCTTCACAACTTATTTTGTGATTCATTGATGATACAGGTCTTAATCTTGGCTCTTGAATCCATAGTATTGATTTGTAAAAAATACCACCAAAGGTGCTAGAATGACTATTATCGTCTATTCATGAAGACGGTTTGTTGTATTTAAAATGCATAAAACTTTTTGTATTAGATTCGTCTGTTTTGAAACCATATCTTGATTTTTCACTTGGCTATATAATTTCGTAAGTTTTATTTACCTGGGCAGGCAAAGATATCTGATTTTATGAAATTCATTCTCCATATCTACTAACTGATCCATTCACCGTTTGTGATCTTTTCTTTAATTCTTTTTAGTATGTTCTGAAATAATTATATTTTTATTAAAATAATATTTTTATTATTGTGTATTAAAAATTATGTATATAGAAAGATAGAGATAATATTAAAAATTAATTATGGTTTATAAAAGTGACGTTAAGAGAAAGTTTTTACTTTTATATATATAACTAGAATCGATATAAAACTAAATAAACCCTACCGAATGCAAAAATAATAGTGAATACATTTTCGAAATTGTTGAAATAAAATTACAAGGTAATTGAAATCTTTTTATTTTGGAAGTAGTTTAAAGTTATAAATACATTATGATTTCGATTATTCTTATAGTAAATAATATTAAATAGCAAAAATAATATACATTTTACATTTAGCAATTGAGTAATTAATATTATATGATTACCTGATTGGGGAAATCCTTATAATTGACTGATTTTTCTTCCAGAAATTAAATCAATTCTTATATGGCATTATTGTCTAAGTCATTTCTTTAATTATAATGCACAGGTTGTGTAACGAGATAGTTTCCCATATTAGCAATAACTTAAATCTGAACTTGCATTTTTAATTATCACAATTAGTAATAATGTCCTCCAGTTTATGACCTAATTCTAAACATTACGGCTAAGGTACCGGTGAAGAAATTCTTAGATACAATAGCACCAATCACTTATTACTATAATATTATAAATTATTGTCTCTGTACAATTTAACTACTAAAAACTTAACGATATCTATGTCCTATATATATTACATACAGTTTTTCTTCCATAACATGAAGTTTGTTGATTCGCAAATAAACAACAATCAATATACAATAAAAATGAGACCGACACAAAGTAAAACCTATCAATTACAAAACAATTGTGGAATATAGTTAAAAAAAAATAAAAAACAATCGAGAAAATTTGGCTTTTGGAAGCCACTTAAAAATAAAATAGTTTTACGTTCAGTAAACAGAATAAAACTAGCCTTCAATAATTATACAAAATATCAAATGTATTATACATTTATAACATTTTATATTGTAATTTTACAACATAACAAAAACATAATTATATTAAATATTACATTTTATTTAAAAAATTATACATTATATTAAAAATTCAGTAACAGTATTTAGTATTCTATAAATAAAAGCAAAAAAAAAATGAATAAAAATATTGCACTATAGAGAAATAAATGAGGAGTACCTGCAACTTGTAGAAGAAGGTTGTTGATTGGCTACATCAGAGGTAGGTAAGTAGGAATAATAAGGATCCTGAGTAAGAGGTAAACTTGCCGTTCTAGTATGTACATTATTATCATCGTACGTAGGAGTTTGTATTGAAGGCATAGTCGCACCGAATCCATAAGCATCAGCTGTTGCAAGAGGTGGCACGACTGCAGTTGGCAGTGGATTGTAATAAGAAGATTCTGCATTATACCGAGTTATTTCATCGTTGAGTTTCAAGTTGACACCGTTAGGAACGTAGCTGTCTGATGGTAGCGTGTGCAGTGTATTAGAATTTGGTTGCAGTGATTCATCGTTCGAATACCGATAAACTTCAGATAAAGGTGAGTAACTCGGTTTGCTTGTTCCCGTCGTGTAATACGATGAAAAAGACAAATTTGGAGTGTATGTTGGAAGCTCAATCGTGTTCTCAGCGGGCTTTATTCCAGTTTTGAGTGCTATTGCAGAATATTCTGGAGGCATTGGGAGAACATTGTTAGATGCTCCAAACATTTTATCATGACTGGCATGACTATCTGTTAGTATACGACTATGTCTGTCGTGTCCTCCGCAACTTCTTCCATGGCTCATTTTATGGTCTTGACTTAGATGAAACTCTTTGGAACTAGAAGGACTAGTATCATCTACTGATGATGACGGTTTGTTGTGTTTATTGTCCTTTTTGTATTTCATTCGTCTGTTTTGAAACCAAATTTTGATTTGTCGTTCCGACAAATGTAAGAAGTTTGCAAGTTCTATTCTTCTGGGTCGGCAGAGATATCGGTTTTGATGGAATTCATTCTCCAATTCCACTAATTGTGTGCTTGTATAAGCTGTTCGTGCTCTTTTTGTAAAACTTTTTTGATATGATGGCGGCATTTCTAAAACAATTATGTTTTGATTAGAGTAAAATTATTAATGTTAGGATACAAGCATAATATAATGGAAATTATATAGGTATAGACAAAAATTGCCGTGTGGTTCCGGCATATTATAGGCTACTACTTTACATATCACGTGGGTGTCGTAAGAGATATTTAAGGGAGCTTAATGGTCGAGGGATGGGCAGGAGCGTCCCTCTTTAAACATTCAAGTTTAACTGTGGTTGCCAATTCACCTATCAAGTATGGCAACTACTGGCAAAATCTCTCAAAATAGGGAGAGGCCTATGTTCAGCAGTGGACAGGTAACGGCTGGTATTATATGATGATGACGACACAAAGATAAATTGGTTATTATTGGTTTAAGTTTGTCTTCATTGTCAGTTTTAATATATCCTAAGAATATAGGATAAAATCGAAATTGTTAGTATCCTTTGAAGGCAGTGATATATCAGTAAACATAAAAATTTTCACCAAAGAAGTATGCGTCGAAAATCGACAATATTTTTTTAACTTCTATACTAACGGAGCGTGATACAGTTACTACCGGCAGTTCTTAATTTTTTGTTATTTTTGAATTTCTAGATTTTTGACAAACAAAGTTTTCTGTCTTAATATACTTTAGCACATACATAAATTTTTACTTTTACGTACTGCTAATAATTTTGATTTTATCCTGTATTCTTACAATATGATAGAACCGACAATAAAAACAAATCAATTTTTTTTTAAATATGTAATTATTTTTCATGTAACTTCTTTTGCAATCCACAGATTATTAGTCCTATATTTATTTAACACAATGAACATTTTTTTTATGGAACACAATCTTAAATATATAAAAAAATTAAAATGTAAAACAACAGTAAAAATAATATATATAAAATAATTTTATCCTGTATTCTTACAATATGATAGAACCAACAATAACAACAAATCAATTTTTTTTTAAATATTAAATTATTTTTAATGAAACTTTTTTTGCAATCCACAGAGTATTAGTCCTATATTTATTTAACACGATTAACATTTCTTTTTTTTTATGGAACACAATCTTAAATAAATAAAAAAATAAAAGTGTAAAAAAGAAAGTAAAAATTATATTTACCTTTGCTTGATGTTGACGATTCAGTACGATCCAGTATTTGGTTAGTAGTTGATTTATTAATCCACGATAAATTCTGAAATTATTTCAAGAATAACGAAATGGTTAACGTGTTACTTGTTCGACGTCTAACACTACAATGAGCAGAACTCAAAGTATTTTTCAGTTATTGCCTACTTAATTAAATACTCATTAAGGGTCTGGTTATTTTTGTGGTAAATAAAATTACGTAGTGAAATAATTGATGTACAACTGTCAACTTTATTTTTAACGACTGAATGACTATAATAGCTTGTACTTTTATTACCTGACTGGGAAAACTAGATTCGTGTAGTTGGTTAACTTCTCTTCCAGGATCTTTTATGATATTGCTATCTAAATTTGTTCTAGAATGATAACGAACAGGTTCACTAATGACATAGTTTCTATTACTTCGGATAGCTTGATTCTGAACCTGCGTAATTGAGGAGAATATGTTGTCATTTTTATTGATGCAAGCATCTGAAATTACTTCTTCAGTACCAGACCCATAGTTATTGATGGGACTATTGCTTATATTTTCATAGCTTGATATCTGGTAATCGTATCTTGCTTCTGAATTCTCTTGAATATTGGTCGCGTTGTATGATTGATGTATACCAAGAATGTCTTGAATACTAAAACCTGTCGAATCCCTCGAATTATAATCTTGTACAAAAGATTGAGATAATGACCCTATAATTTCTTGTTTGCAGTCAAAATTATTGTCAACTCCGTTATAGATTATACTTTCTGATAATATGTCTTCAACACTATGTGATGTTACTGTAGTATTTTTAATATCATTTTTATTAGATACATCGGTGAATTGAGTATCATTATATTTTGTCGCAGCAGTATGAGAAAATTTTGATGATATAGAATCCCTCGAGTCCTCCGCGCCGCGCTCTGTTTCTAAACTTGGTACTGAAGATGGCGGCGAAGTTGGCGGTGAAGACATTTTTGACACAAGATCACCAATCACTTATCATAGTAATAATATTGTTGTAATCGTAGTATTGTCAATACACAATTTGATCACAAAGAACCTAACGACCGTACTCACCGAGTTTTATTTACTAAATGCTGTTTTCTTCACCTGATTATCTTTAATTTGGTAATGACTTTGTCCATTGTGTGCGTAGGTTCTACGAGGTAAGTATACCTATTTATGCATAGATAACGCTCACATACCGGGTCTCTGATAGTAAACGGACACAAGATAATATACAAGAATTAGTTTCGGTAGCTAAAACAGTTGTCACAATCGCTTATCCGAAATTGCTACAGGTTTACTTATAGCTACGATAAAGTTTGTAGTTTTTTATTTTTTATAATATTTTTATTTATATTTTAGAGTGACAAAGAAACGGATGGTCTACCTGATAAAAAGTGGTAACCGTTGTCTATAGACAAGAACAGCACCATGAATATTACATAATACACTATTATAGCCAAACACCATTTATAAGTTGCCATTCTTGAGGATTAAGACATTTTGTCATAGTTATGGGACTATAGATACTTACTTTTCTACTAGATATTAGTATGTTATTCATCATCATATCGCGCCGTCATCCGGTTACGTTTAATGTCCCGCCAGTAAGAACTAACCTACTTCAGCACGCTCCCTTAACTCACGCAGTACGGTTATTAAATAATATTACAAACATCATTGATATATTTAGTAGTAGACTATATTAGAAGCGGCTCAGAAATATCTAGAGTCGGGTTAAATACATTTATTATAACTTTGTATGTTAGCACACTAGATTTATTTGGCTTTTACTGCTATAATGTTGTAATTATTTTTAATGAATAAATAAATATATAGAAATCATTTCAACTATTATTCTTCCACTGCTGGATATAAATAAGCCCCCCCCCCCCATAGACTGCCATAAAGAACCGTCCTGAGTCACCTTCATTCATTTATCCCCTGCAATGCATTTCAGGTCGTCACTCCATCTCCATCTTTCTTCCCCATCAGTTATCAGTTCTTCGAGTTATATGACTAGTTCATTACCACTACAGCTGGCTTATCCTTCGGGCTATGTCGGTTACGTTGGTTCTTTTTTGGATATCTTTGTTTTAGATTCTATTACGCAAAGAAACTCTGAGCATATCCTTCTCCATAGCTCGCTGAGTAATTTGAAGCTTTTGGATACAGGTAATAGTGTACGACCATGTTATTATTATATCAACGTAATATAAAGTATTCCCATATCTTCTATGCTTGTACATAATAATAAAAATTATACATGATCGTGTTTGGAGAGGTGTCGTGTAAAAAATACTGGAGAGATTTTGATGAACTTTGATGTTATTAAAACATTTGCAAACGTCGAAATGTATTTATTGCATTGAGCTGTTTTCATTTAAATTGGGAACTACAAACATTTTAATTTATAAAATGATATTGTATTGTATTTTTGATATGAACTATATTTTAACAAAATTTTAAATTGAGTAGCTTATCTTATAAACTAATATTACCTGATTATAGTAAGTACATTTTAACACAATTAAGTGCCTCACTAGTTAATAAAGTGACACTTATATATATGAAATAACGTAGAATCGTTGAGGTCATCTTAGTTCTTGCTGTGACGATGTAATTAATATAAGCCACAATTTCTATTTAATCACAGGACACTGTAAGGGCTGAAAAAAAGAAAATGATATAAAACCTTATATTTAGTCGCTGATCAGGTATATCAATCGTAGTTGCTTTGTAGATATATTATTTTCCCCATAATACTTGGGGCTTAATAATAAAGTTTAGGGCAGTAGTCCCCTGATTCAAGTTATTTTATTAACTTATTTAGGAGCCTAGTTCTAAAATCACAACTTCTGTATCCATTTAAAATTATAATATTAATATTAGTACTATAATATATGAAACTACAATTATGTTTTTTCAAAATCCCATTGATAGACTATATGAGTAATATTATACGTGTGTTATTTGTGAATTACTGTTTTAATTTAATATTGTTTATTATGCCGTCGTGATGATACGATTACATGGCACCGTCAATTATATTTGCTGTTATAGTTTTCTGTCTATAGTCTGCCATCTACACTTTCTATTAAATTTAATTATTATATTTTAAAGTTAAATAAATAAAATAAATTAATAGTAGACTAATCCTCTCTTTTTTCTATAACACAGGGGGCAACCGTGTATGCGGTTCCACCTGCATGCACCTGATGGTTAGTGATTACCACCGCCCATGATCACCCACAACACCAAAGGCATCTTCTAATAAGAACAAGATCCGAACCCACGGTATGTTACTGATTGCTATCATATATATTTTTTATGTTACTTAGAATGGCAAAAAAAGTAATGGCTAATATGATAGCCATAAATAGCATGTTTATAGACAATAGCATCATGAACATCACACTGTGACAAATATGATACGCCTCTTGTGTTGCCATTCTTGAGAATTAAGGTGTTATACCATCATATCCTGTAATTTCATTGCTATATTCCAATATTCATACCAAACACAGACATACAGATACAGCTGCTTCACGGTAAAAACGTGAATGAGAAATTAGTACTCAAGTAGAGGACTTTTGTGTAGTCTCCATCTGATATAATTAATACAAATATTTCCATTTATTGGCATTCAAAGTATTGTAATCTAATCGAGTATTAAAAGAATTGTATAAGTTATTATTTGAAACCATAAATGGATATAGTTGCTAATCCATAATGCACTTTAGGGCTCTAAATATAATGACCGTAACAATTACTGTAACGTGTTAAGTAATATAGTTAAGATGGATTTTGAAGAGACAAAAATTACTTTGAATGTTAAAAACAAGAATAATTTAGCAGCACGTGCTAAATTATTCACATCGTTATTGATATTTATTAATATCAATAATATATATTAAGAATAATGATTTATTATTTTAATGATGATAATTATTAGATATTATTTTACTGTATAGTAATAGATATTATTATTTGTTGAGGGAAACTAATTATAAATTTGTTCCTCTCAACAAATAAGTACATTCTTAATAAATATATGTTTACCTTATCTTATGTTACGTTACCTTATCTTATCTTATCTTACCTTCTCTTATCTTATCTTACTTTATCTTATCTTAAATATGGGTAAAATTTGGGTAATTCATAATAACGGTAAATTTAGATAAATAAATAATTAAAGATAATTAATAGTTAAAATTTATTTTTCTACTTTTTGAAACTATACTAATTAGGTGTGTACATATAAGAGTCCTTTAATTTAAGGTGTCGTATATTATTATTATTAAAAAAAAAAGATAATATAAATATATTCAAATCACATGTCAAGAATTGTTCTTTATTTAGTTCATTGAACGAGATCAATATGACATATTTTATACAAAGTCAGCTGCACTTCGGATATTGAACTAGTAACCCTGTTCTTTGTTGACTTTGATAGATGGCTTCGAGCCGTGAGAGTTTGCACTATACGTGGCTTACGTATGTTAGTATATTATGAGTGTATAGCTTTCTGCTATACTCCGGATGTAAATAGAATTAGATTATATAGTGCTTATCATATAGATTGATGATATAAATTATTATTATTATTTATGTGTAACAAATAATATTGAAATATTTAGTAATACCAGTGTGTATCGGTTTGAAACGATAGCTCTGAGCTTCTTATGTACCTATTCTGCGATATCGTTATACTTTTAATGTCTACCGGCGATTGTAAGAGTGTATGAATTTCTTATAGGTAATAAATAGATAACTTAGTTATAAGTAGTAAACTACCCCGGCTTCGCGCGAGCATATTTGGCTAAATTTTTTTGTCGTTGCCTCAAACCAGTATTATGCGGTGCATATCAGTAAAGCGCCGAGTCTGTATGCTTTTTTCGGACATCTTCAATAATTGTTGTCATATTTCAGTCGATTTATAAAGTCTCTTACGAATTACTCCGTCTGTTAGTAAAAACCGTATGAAAATCTGTTCGGTAGTTTTTTAGTTTATTACAGTCAAACGCATTTTTAACCGACTTTATACAATATGTAGAAATAGATATGTACTCTGGTGACCTATAAGCACCATTTACAGTTTGTTCTCTTTACATTATACTATTTTTAACTACCATTTGAATTTATTACACACAATAAAGGTTCACTGTAGTATAAATCTTAATAACAATTATAATTAATACATATTTCTTACATCAATATGTTGCCCATTTTCGATCACTGAAGTACTTATCTAAGTGGAATATTATATCATGATACATAGAAACTTATATATAGTCACCTTCACATTCATAACTAAACATACCTCAATAAATTATAGCAGTGACGTTAATTTTTGTATTTCATTTAGACCTTTATCAGGAAGACTGCAAACCAATACACAAAGTTATAATTATTATGTCGAATTTACTGCACCACTTAATTACAATTACTATTACAGAATAAATTTGTCGGATTCGCTATTTGTCATACTGCCTTTATTTGTTCTGTACTACCCACATTGCGTCTACCCGAAACTGGACTCTTTTTATAATTTATGGTACCGATCTATGGTCGAATAATCGTTATTCATATATAATAAAGTTGCCTAATGCAACCAATCCAAATCAAGTTCCAAGACACCTGGGATATGTATATTTTGTACAACCGGCGAATGTAAATGTCTTGTCTGTTAATATTAAGCACTTAGCGCACTTAGCCTATTAGACTTGGTAGGGTATGCATAGCATTTCATACTAATATTCATGTAAGGTGGCCTTTTTAAACCTTCAGGTTCGTTTAGGTATAAATAGTGAATAAAATTCAATGAAATGTTGTCCATTAATTATTTATTTTTGAATGTATCAGTTAAGTTAAAAAACCTACGATTTTTTTTCAGATTATTACATAAATTCCATAATGTGTTAAAATTCCAAATTATTAAAAATTAATTAGTTATTTATCTGATTGAACTGGAATAATTTGTAGTAATTAAGTAAATTAATCTGTCTACCCATTACTTGTAGCATTTTAGAAAACATCTAATGTCAGTATGTCAGAAATATTATAAAGATTAGATAAAATAATATCAAATAAAAAGAATATTAAAAAGATTACACAAAATAATATTTTTGCTAGTTCAGCCAGCCAACCGTTATAGCAATAAATTTTACTGCTGCTCGGACAAAAGCAAACTATTCTATGGACC